CCTGCCACTAGGGCGTGGCACCATCTGTCCTTTTATCACCAGAATATGTCCCTAACGAGCCCCAGCTGCATAATGAATCTTGCATCCCGAAAAGACTCACAGAAGACATCTGCTGAGTCACAACAGGTATGTAGGGAGAGAGAGAGAGTAGGTAGGTAGATAGATGTTTCCAGGTGTATCCATGTTCTGGAGAAGGAAACCGCTGACAATCTGCAGGACCTAAGACTTTGTTTCTTAGGCACAGCACTTGATCAATCTAATTCTCATCAATCAGTTAAACAGCTTTCCAAACGGAAAAAAAAAAGTTTTTGCACTCGGCAAACCTCCCAAAAACGGCCCATTTTTCACGTGATGAAAGAAATGGGCCTGGTTTTTTTTCAAAAAGAAAAAAGAAAAAAAAAGGCATGAATATCCTTTGGGGGGGCTTGCAGAGTGCTCCTGGGGGGATAGGGAGGCCAAAAATGAGCAAAAATGGGCCCATTTTTTGTCAAAAAAAATTGCATGCATAGCCTTATGGAGGCTTATAGAGTGCTGCTGGCGGCTGGGCGGGGGGGCAAAAAACGGTCCATTTTTTGCTCATTTCTGCCTTCCCCAGCCCCCAGGAGCTCTCTGAAAGCCTCCATAAGGGTATGCACGGCCATTTTGGTGAAGGGGGTGAGGCTCTGAGAGGCAAAAAATGCTGCACCCAGATTTTTAGCCTCTTTTGTGAGGAAAAAAGGTGCGTCTTATAATCTGAAAAATACGGTAATAACTCTGGCCAGATTGTAAAATGGGGCAAAACTTACTGAACAGACCAAAGTTCTGTTTCCAGCCACCGATCCAGATTGGATCTTGCAACCCAAAATGAAAAGTTCTCTTCTTCACTGTGTTTCAGAGAAACCTGCGAGGAGTTACGGAGGTTGCTAAGCCAGCAGCACCTGAAGGAGGTGTGTAAAGACCGCGTCACCCAGCTGGCCCTGAAGGAGGAGCTGAACAAGCAGAAGGAGATGGAGGAGGCCATGTACATCGCTCTCTGGGAGGAGGACCGGTTAGCCAAGGAGAAACGAGCCTCTGAGGAGGCCAACAAGCGGTCCGGTTGGAGGGAGGAAATGATTAGTGCGCTCAACGCCCAGAGGGCCATCGCGGATGCTCAAAGGGACGAGGCTAGGCGACTGAAGGAAGAAGAGGCGAAACTGATGGTAAGGTAGCTTCTCACTTCCTGATGACAGGGTGTCTTCGAGTTACGACTGTAGTTGAGCCTGGAATTATGGCCGCACATCATGCTGGTCATCGAGGGAGGGGGTCGCCCTGTGACCGTGCCCCATTTTATAAAATTTTTCTCAGTGGTCATTAAGTGAATCCATGGTGCGCAATGGGTGGGGTTTTATTTGCCAGAAATTGGAAGTAAATGTCATTTTTGAGCAAAAATCGCCATAAATAGTGGTCATGTGACTGCAGGATGCTAGAAACATCATAAGAGCCGAGGTGGCGCAGTGGTTAGAGTGCAGTACTGCTACTACTACTTCAGTTGACTGTTAGTTGCAGTTCGGCAGATCAAATTTCACCGGCTCAAGGTTGACTCAGCCTTCCATCCTTCTGCGGTGGGTAAAATGAGGACCCAGATTGTTGGGGGCGATATGCTGACTCTGTAAACCACTTAGAGAGGGCTGAAAGCCCTATGAAGCGGTATATAAGNCGGTAGATTTGACGAACCGGTTCTACCGAATAGGTGCGAACTGGTAGAAACCCACCTCTGGTGGTATTTAGCAGGTTCTGACCAGTTCTGGAGAACGGGTAGTGGAAATTTTGAGTAGTTCCGAGAACCGGTAAATACCACCTCTGACTGGCCCCACCCCCATCCATTCTTTGCCTCCCAAGTCCCAGCTGATCGGGAGGAAATGCGGATTTTGCAGTATCCTTCCCCTTCCACGGCCATCAAGCTGTGCCTTGCCATGCCCATCAAGCCACACCCATAGAACCAGTAGTAAAAATATTTAATCCCACCACTGCTCTGCAGTACTTCAAGTGTGATCTTACCAAGGCATTATAAATTTATATTAACATGGTGAATTAATATGGTGAACCGGGCAACTGTTTGCAACAGCTTGTTCCGGGCCAAGGGGGCAGCCCCCCCCCCTTTCCTCTCTTCTGCAGTGGTAGCTGGATGCTTCGATTAAAATCACTTTCTTCCTGCAGAAAGCCAAGTCGCCCAATACAAGTGAGGATAGCCAGAAGCAACTGTTTTATTGGAGGGCTCAGGAAGCAAAGCGCCATGAATATGCCCGCTATGCCAAAACCCACGAAGTTGGGATCATTAAGGGTAAAATGGAGGAGATCAGCGAACAGAAACGACATCACCGGGAGGTTCAGAAGAGAATCGGCATAGAAATGCAGGCTTATCTGGCTGGTGAAGAAGAAAGGAAAGAAAGGTAACGAAGAAGAATTACTGTATTTTTCAGAGTATAAGACACACTTTTCCCCTCCCCTAAAAGAGGGTGAAATTTTGGGTGCATCTTATACACCAAATGTAGCCCTGCCCACCCGCTGGCCCCCACCCTTTGGCCTCTGCCTCCCAGCAATTTGCCTCCTTGCAGCTAACAGCAAATAGCCTGTTTCAGTTTCAGCTTCAGCACAGCCTGATTAACACAAGAGAGCTGATTGCCAGTTAGATCGGCCTTCCGACAATCAGCTGTTCAAGTTGCAGGGATTGCCATAGCCTATTGCCACATCCGTTCGCCCAATTTTCCGCCCATTCCGATCCCCACTGCCCGGAACTGATGGAAAATGAGGCACACAGAGGCGGCAATAGGCTAAGGCAATCCCTACAGACTGAAACGGCTGATGGCTGATCCAACGGACAATTATTTGCTTGTGGTAATCAGGCTGTTCTGAAGCTGAAACCGAAACAGGCTATTTGCTGTTGGCTGCAAGGAGGCAAATTGCTGGGAGACAGAGGCAGATTTACCCCCCCTCCCCTTGTTTTCCTCCCCCAAAGCTAGGTGCGTCTTATATTTTGCAGCATCTTATACTCCGAAAAATACGGAGTATTCCTTTTTTAAAGAAGATTTCAATGAGGGGGTTTGTGGGTTTTAATTTTTGCCAACTAAGCCTAAGGAGAGAAAAACTGACCCAAAACCACTTATTGTCTGAGCAATACAGGTAGTCCTCGACTTACAAACATTTGTTTAGTAACTATTCAAAGTTACAGCAGCACTGAAGTAACCTATATGACCATTTTTCACAGTTACGACCATTGCAGCATTCCCTGTGGTCACGTGATCAAAATTCGGACACGTGGCAACCGGTTCACGTTTATGACGGTTGCAGTGTCCCAGTGTTATGTGATCGCCTTTTACAACCTGACAAGCTAAAGTCAATGGGGAAGCCAGATTCGCTTAACAACCATGGTACTCATTGAACGACTGCAGGGATTCACTTAAAAACTGGCAAGGAAGATCATAAAATGGGAACAAAGTTCGCTTAACAACTGTCTTGCTTAGCAACAGACATTTTGGGCTCAATTATGATTGTAAGTCAAGGACCAACTGTAACTTAACCAGAGGTGGACATTAGGTACTTACAGTCACAGAATGAGGACTATTGTAGTACCTTAGCAGACTGCATGCATTTAATCTCCAGGTCAAATAATCCTGGAAGGCCTTAAGCCACGTTCACCTAAAATGTAGAACCACAAATTACAATTCATAAACCACAGGGGAAGAAACAAGCATTAAAGCATTTGCTTTGGCTTAATTAACAACAGGGTGTTGAGATGGACCAGCAGGTCCTTTATCTGAAAATTGGGAAAACTTGGGAATTCTGGGAGTTGAATTCCAGCCATTGTACAGCTAAACATTTGCAAAATCTTTGTCGCTTGATTTCAAGACAAAACCCAATTGCATCGGTCTCTTTTCAGACTTCGGGATCTCCTGGAAGCTGAAGAGAAGGGCTTCATTGCCGAAATGGAATCGCAGGAAGAATCCATCGAGGGACAGCAGAACAGCATGAGAATGAGAGCCAAGGAGCTGAGGGAGAAGCGGGAAGAGGCTCGGCGGAAACTAGTGGCAGAGAAACGGGAACTGCAGTTCCGGTAAGTGAGCCAAATCTAGGAACGTCCCTCTAGGAATATCTGTGGAGATTCTCAGTCATCCAGGTCACTGTTGTCTCATATCTGACTTGATATTTGACATGTCTTGGACAGTTCTCTATCCAGGAAGATTCCACAGCCAATTGCACCTTGAAGGCTAAGTGGCCTCGAGAGCTCTCAGGGAGAGTGTTGATTCCCACAATGGATGAATGCTTGCAAAAGTTTATGGAGTTGGCAGAGATGGCTCAATTGATTGCATTGGTTAAAGAAAATAACACAATTTATTTTGTTTCTACTTGGAAACCGCTTCTGGACTTTGTGCTTGAGATGGAAAAAAAATGAAATGCAAAAGAAATACAGGTAGTCCTCAGCTTGAGCTCAACATTTATGTTGTTAAAGAGACNAGGCGCTCGGCAACTGGTTCATATTTACGACGGTTGCAGTGTCCAAGGGGGAGGGTCACGTCCGACGAGCCAAGTCAACAGGGGAGCCGGCTTCACTTAACAACGGTATTACGACGTTAACCACGGCAGTGATTCACCGAACAACGCTGGCGAGAAAGTTCGTCCAACGGTCTCAAGGGTGGATTTTCTTCAGTGCCGTCGGATCTCCCCACGGTCACTAAATGTACCGTTGTAAGTCGAGGACTACCTGTATAGCTGGATTCGGCTTTAAATTCATCTGGGGAGGGATGGGTGAAGTTTTACGCAGCATTCTCTCCACCGGCGTTTAAATCCAAAACGTTCAGCGAAACTCAGCTGATGCGTCTGATGTCGAACGCTTCTAAAGGTCGGTGTGTTTTTGTGTGTCAATTGTGCTGTTTTCTCGCACTGATGTAGATTCTTGGTGATGGCTGCTTTGGCCGGGATAATTTCGACAATAACTGGGACAATGCTTAGGGCGAAACAGAGATACTTCTAAAATCCAGCTCTTTTGCTCACTCAGCAGAAAAACTCCCGAATCTCCTTCTCTGGGATCCGGAAAGGGACACCTGGATGAGGGTTAGAACATCTGGCTTGGTCTTGGGTTCACAATCCCAGCAGCCTGGGAAAAGATGGGCATTGTAGTCCAAGAATCTGGAGGGCGCCTAATTGGCAGGAACGGTCTGACCGTTTCCTTCCTTCAGTTACGCCAGAGTTTCTCAAAGTTGGTGACTTTTAAGCTGGATGGACTTCAACTCCAAGAATTCCACGTAGGGTAACTTTCTTAATAAACGGTGGGTATGCAGTAAGCGTAATATATCTTGACTTCAGCAAAGTGGAAAAAAAAGAGATAGCTGGGGAATTCTGGGAGTTGAAGTCCAAAAGTCTTAAATCAGGGGTCTCCAACCTTGGCCACTTGAAGACTGGTGGACTTCAAGTCCCAGAATTCCCCAGCCAGCCCCATAGGGTAACTTTCTTAATAGACGGTGGGTATACGGTAGGTGTAATATATCTTGACTTCAGGAAAATGGGAAAAAAAAGGGCTGGGGAATTCTGGGAGTTGAAGTCCACAAGTCTTAAATCAGGGGTCTCCAACCTTGGCCACTTGAAGACTGGTGGACTTCAACTCCCAGAATTCCCCAGCCAGCCACGTAGGGTAACTTTCTTAATAAACGGTGGGTATGCGGTAAGTGTAATATATCTTGACTTCAGGAAAATGGGGAAAAAAGGGCTGGGGAATTCTGGGAGTTTAAGTCCACCTCTCTCACAGTTACTGGCTGGCTGGGGGATTCTGGGAATGAATTTACTTATGACCAATGCAGCATCACGTGATCAAAATTCAGACCCTTGGCAAGGGACTCGTATTTATGACGCTCACCGCGTCCTGCAGTGTCAAGTGAACCCCTTTTGCGACCTCCTGGGGAGGCAAATGGCTCCTATTTACGACGGTTATAGCATCCCAGGCTGATATCCCGGGAACTGAACCTCAATTTTCTCTTGTTAAGCTTTGCCCCATGTTGCGACCTTCCTTGCCACAATTGTTAAGCGAATCAAATTAGTACCACCAGGTTGTTAAGTGAATCTGGCAAAGTCCCCGCNCATTAAATGCTTTCTTTTTTAAAAAACCTCTTGGAAATTCCCCTTTTTTATATAGATAGATAGATAGATAGATATACATTAAAACAACAACAACAAAGGAAAAATGCCAAGCAACCATTTAATGCCTTAAAAGCCAAAATAAGAAGGAAAAAAAAAATAGACTCTCGGCCGCAAATCAACTTGGAGCCAGGAGGGGAAAGGAAAGAAGGAGAAAAAAAAAGAAAAAAAAACATGTCAAAACCAATTTACAAACCGTGGTTAAAATTCAGCTGAATCAAACCCCTGCAGTTCTCGGGCACCCAAATGGTGCATATATTTTTTTTGGAGCCTCGAAAGCAGAAGAGGCAAAGGAGGGGGGTGTTGCATTTCGAGCCCCCTTGAAAACATCTGTAAAATTTTTAAAAAGGGGAACCCCCCCCCCTTTGCTCGTGATTCCTCCCCGGGGAAGCAGATTTGGAAGGATTTCCGTTAAAAAAAAACCAACGGAAGAATGGATCGGAGGACGGAAAATGGGGAAAACAATTATGGAAAACATTGGATTTTGTTTGCAGAAGGGAAGGTGGGAAGGAGTTTCCTAGCAATCCATCCCAAACCAGAAGCCTGTTTGCCAGGCCAGAACGAGAAATGCAGATGGTCCTCGACTTACGACCGTTTGTGACGACAGCAAAAGATAAAGGGACCGAGGATCGTTTTTTTCACACTTAATGACCGTTGCAGGAACCTCGGGAAACGTCCTGTGATCAGGGATGTATTTATGACGGTTGAAATGTCTTCCCAACCAACCATGGATTTGCTTAAGGACCACACAGTTCGCTTAAGGACTGCAGTGACTCACTTAACAACCCTGGGAAAAAAGGGGGGGCTCTGGGCAGCCCCGTTGTAGCGTCCGAGGTTCTCGGTGGTCCTTTGCAAGCTTTCCAGCCACTTTTCAAAACAAGCAAAGTTCACGGGGGAAGAAGCAGGATTCGCTTAACAACCCCGTGATTCGCTTAGCAACAGGAGTGGTTCATTCTCAACTGGAGCGATTCGCTTAGCAACCGTGACGAAGAAGGTTGTAATAACCACCTTGCTTAGCAATGGAAATTAAGGTTTTACTCTTTCTTTCTTTCCTTTTGTTCTCCTTCCCATCTCTACTTTTTCCTTCCTTCCTTTCTTCCTTCTGTCGTTCCTTCCTTCTTTCTTTGTTTCTCTTTCTTTCTTCCCTTCCTTCTTCCTTCCTGCTTTCCTTCCTTCCTCAGTGAAGAGGAAAGTAAGGTGTTACTCTTCTTTCCTTCCTTCCTTCCTTCCTTCCTTTTTCCTTCCTTCCTTTCTTCCTTCTGTCGTTCCTTCCTTCTTTCTTTGTTTCTCTTTCTTTCTTTCTTTCCTTCCTTCTTTCTTCCTTCCTTCTTTCTTTCTTCTTTCTTCCCTTCTTCCTTCCTTCCTTTCTTCCCTCCTTGTTTTTTCCTTCTGTCATTCCTTCCTTCTTTCTTTGTGTCTCTTTCTTTCTTTCCTTCTTCCTTCCTTCCTTTTTCTTTCTTTCTTTTTTCTTCCCTTCCTTCCCTTTCTTTCTTTCTTTCTCTCTCTCTTCCTTTCCTCTTTCTCAAAAGTGTTTTTCTTCAAGAGGCAACTGGACTTTCTGCTTTTTCCTTCAAAGACCTTTCCCTTCTCCTCCAAGAAGCTTCTGAATGGAGAGTGGTGAAGGGAAGGATTTATACTCCTAACTCCTTGCAGATTTTCTTTCTTTCTTTCCTTCCTTCCTTCCTTCCTTCCTTCCTTCCTTCCTTCCTTCCTTTTTCTCCCCTTCCCTTCTTCCTCCACTCCCCCCTCTTCCTCCTTGCCAACATCCTAGAAGGATCTCAACAGACTTGAACCCAGGGCCCTGTCTAAGAAAATGAAACTCAGTGGAAAGAAAAAATAAAGTTTTTACACTTAAGCCGGAAAACCCAAAAGTATATATATACAGATCGGGGGAAACGTAGCTCAGTAGTAGTAACGGGGAGAGGGATCTTGGAGTCCTAGTAGACA